GGCGTATCTCATAAATCCGTTCTTTTCACTATAAATTATCTCAATGAGCCCCTCGAACTTTCACACAGAGATGAGAGAGAAAAGAAAGATGTAGAAGTTGTTGATTGATCGTTTATCACAACATAATATACTTGAATATTTAAAATTAAAATTATGACGATACCTTAAATAAATAGTGTAAATCAGGTTTGTAACCGTATCGGATAATTAATATTTTTTTCATTTTAAATTATCAGATATTTTTTAAAAAAATTTTTCATCCCAAAATATAAAATACTTTGAATAGATTAAATTTTATTAAATATATTAATTTTAATATTATTTATTTTTTTTATTATTAATTTTTATCACTTTTCTTTTCAATATATTAAATAATAAATATTATAAAAAATTTATATTTTTATTTAAAAAGGATAAAATTATTAAATTTATTTAATAAAATTTATTAGTTTATAAAATTTTATTTAAAAATATTTTATAATTTAAAATGAAGGGAGTACGTTAATTATACCAATAGATAAAAGCATAAAACTATGAGGCCTACGTGCAGCCGCTGACAAGTGACGTCCGTGCGTTCACATATGCTTTAATGGACTTTATATTGAAAATTTTTTTTGTGAAACTTAAAATAAAAAAAAAGTTTCACAGCTAAAATTATAAAGTCGGTTTCAAATTGTTTTTATTTTATTATTTTTAAAATTAATATTTTATAAAACATGTTTTGAAAATAAAAAATAATAAAAATATATATTTTTTCTCATTCTTCATTATTTTCTAAACATTAGAAAGAAAATAAAATATTATTAACAAAAGGAAAAATTAAAGAAATAACCAAAGTAACATAGATCTTGTCATCACTCAGCTGAGGGGCAAAGGTCTAAACAAAATAAGAGGCCGAAGTAACAGAAATAAAATTAACGATTAGCGTTAGTTCATATCACTGTTTGGAAATCGGACCAACTCGGCCAAATTGACTCATAAACTAATGAATCTGTCACCTAGTTAGTTCATTTGATTAAAAAAATCGATCACCTATGACCCAATTTCAACTCAATCAAATCGGCACTCAGCTAACCTAATGGGTTAATGGGTTGACTCGGGTCAAATTTATTTTTTTTCCTTTGTTTTTTCCTTTCTTCTTCTGAGTGTTGAACCTTGAATTAAATATAAATTTTTTAATTAATAATTGTAGTGCTATTGTGTTTTATTATTGTCAAAAACCTATAATTATTATTTCTATAAAACATGTGTAAGATTTTGTGGATAAATTTTTCATTTACTCAATAAGTAATTACTTTTATTTAAGTATTATGGTCTTTCATATGAATATCTTTGTATATTTAATCAAATTATATTATTTTAATTGTGACCGGTTTGATTTTAGATTGACTTCTAGTTGGACCACTAATCCTTAAACTACTATCTCGATTGGTTCAATGACTAGTTTAATTTTCAATACATTTATTCATATACGCTTAGGCCCACAAGCCTGTTTAAGGTCAGCTAGTTTTTTATTTATTTTTAATTTAAAAATGTTTTAAATTTTAAAAGGTTAATTTTTACATTACAATATTAAATATATTCATTTTTTAAAATATAAGTTATAATGTTAAAAATTAAAATAGATAATACAAATCGTAATTTTAAAGTGTGTGTGTGTGTGTGTGTATATATGGCTATTGACATATTTTTGCAACAAAACAGGTAACCACAATTCTATTCTTGATATGACGTCCAAGTAATTGAAATGATGTTTGACTCCATCATGAGATTTTCATTTCACTCTTATATATTGGAACTATACAGACAAGTAAGAAATCACTGAAGAAACTAAGTCACATAATTTCCAAGATTACATCGATATGTAAATTACAAGCAAATGTTCAAGAATAATAGAATGAGGGACAATCATGCATTTTCTATCTTCTTCTTGAGTAGATTAATGTTTTATTAAATGTATCAATTTTAATATTATTTATTTTCTCTCTATTACTAATTTCCATCATTTTTCTTTTCAATATATTAAATGATAGATATTTTAAAAAATTTATATTTTTATTTTAAAAAGATAAGATTATTAAGCTTATTTAATAAAATGTATTTGTATGTAAAATTTTATTTAAAAGTATTTTATAATTTAAAATGGAGGGAGTATATTAATTATACCAACGGATAAAAGCATAAAACTATGAAGCCTACGTGCAGCCGCTGACAAGTGACATCCGTGCGTTCACATATGCTTTAGTGGACTTTATATTGAAATTTTTTTTTGTGCAACTTAAAATAAAAAAAAGTTTCACAGCTAAAATTATAAAGTCGGTTTCAAATTATTTTTATTTTATTATTTTTAAAATTAGTATTTTATAGAACATGTTTTGAAAATAAAAAAATAATAAAAATATATATTTTTTTTCATTCTTCATTATTTTCTAAACATTAGAAAGAAAATAAAATATTATTAACAAAAGGAAAAATTAAAGAAATAACCAAAGTAACATAGATCTAGTCATCACTCAGCTGAGGGGCAAAGGTCTAAACAAAATAAGAGGCCGAAGTAACAAAGAAATAAAATTAACCAATAGCGTTAGTTCATATCATTGTTTGGAAATCGGACCAACTCGGCCAAATTGACTCATAAACTAATGAATCTGTCACCTAGTTAGTTCATTTGATTAAAAAAATCGATCACCTATGACCCAATTTCAACTCAATCAAATCGGCACTCAGCTAACCTAATGGGTTAATGGGTTGACTCGGGTCAAATTTATTTTTTTTTTCCTTTGTTTTTTCCTTTCTTCTTCTGAGTGTTGAACCTTGAATTAAATATAAATTTTTTAATTAATAATTGTAGTGCTATTGTGTTTTATTATTGTCAAAAACCTATAATTATTATTTCTATAAAACATGTGTAAGATTTTGTGGATAAATTTTTCATTTACTCAATAAGTAATTACTTTTATTTAAGTATTATGGTCTTTCATATGAATATCTTTGTATATTTAATCAAATTATATTATTTTAATTGTGACCGGTTTGATTTTAGATTGACTTCTAGTTGGACCACTAATCCTTAAACTACTATCTCGATTGGTTCAATGACTAGTTTAATTTTCAATACATTTATTCATATACGCTTAGGCCCACAAGCCTGTTTAAGGTCAGCTAGTTTTTTATTTATTTTTAATTTAAAAATGTTTTAAATTTTAAAAGGTTAATTTTTACATTACAATATTAAATATATTCATTTTTTAAAATATAAGTTATAATGTTAAAAATTAAAATAGATAATACAAATCGTAATTTTAAAGTGTGTGTGTGTGTATATATATATATATGGCTATTGACATATTTTTGCAACAAAACAGGTAACCACAATTCTATTCTTGATATGACGTCCAAGTAATTGAAATGATGTTTGACTCCATCATGAGATTTTCATTTCACTCTTATATATTGATACTATACAGACAAGTAAGAAATCACTGAAGAAACTAAGTCACATAATTTCCAAGATTACATCGATGTATAAATTACAAGCAAATGTTCAAGAATAATAGAATGAGGGACAATCATGCATTTTCTATCTTCTTCTTCTTTGTGGTCCAAACTCCAACGTACACTGGTTTCTGTAAAACACGCAATCATATATCCTTCAGAAATATTCATGTATGGACCTCTAATTTAACTAGTTTCAATCAAGATAGGCATAGTGGGTCTGATGTCTAATAAATCTTTGTTTTGGAGCAAAACGACTACTTCAGACATCATTGGCCTTATATCAGCAGATGCTTGCGTGCATAACAAACCAATCTCTATCACTTTCTTTACTTCTTCTGCATCATAATCGTTAGGCTCTAACCTCTTGTCCACCAACTCTAAGTGATTGCCTTTCTCATATAGTTTCCAAGCCTACCAAGTCATATAGATAAAAGTGAAGTGAAATAATTAACAAGAGTGGTAGAAAAGACAAAAGAAAAAAGTGAGGGAGAAAATGTTCTAAAATTAATTAACATTCATGAATTTGCAATGAAATTTTTATATTTTTCCCATTTTACTATTTTTTTATAAAATATAAAATCTTCTTTCTCTTACTTTTTTAAAAAAGAAAAATTATTACAGATTCTCAACTTTGGAGAATCCATTTAAGAAAGCGTTCATAAATTATATTATTGTAAAAGAATGAATGATTTTCGCAAGGGTTAAAAACACCTAAGATGTCTTTTTTAGGATAGTCATATAAATTTTCTCAGCTTTTGCAGGAGAAATTCACCTTCCTGATAACCATGAACCTTCAATTCATTCCAATTTTGACCACTAATGATTTCTAAAACTACAACACCATAGCTATAGACATCAGCCTTTTCTAATAATTGACCATGAATTGCATATTCTGGTGCTGTGTATCCTTTGTATAATATTTTTGATGTAACTAATCAAAACAGTGGCTTAAACAGAAAGTATCATATTATCATCCAACGAAATATCAAATAGACAAACGCAATGTAAATATTATTGTGTCAGAATATGACAAAGATATGTAACCATGGATGGAGTATGCGGAGCCTAAACGCAATGTAAATATTATTGTATCAAAACATGACAAAGACATGTAACCACGGATGGAGTATGGGGAGCCTTTTAAAAATATATATTGTTAATCTAATTTTGCTGTTAAAAAAAAGATCAAACTTTTTGAAAATAGTGTTATAACTTAATAATATTATATGATAAATTATTTATAATCATGTTTAATATTTTAATAAATATGAAAAAAAAAGTGAAACCATATATCCATTATACTAATATTCATAAAAAAAACTATAAAGGGTATATAAAAAACTATATTTTTAATGCATTTGCACTTGTCATTTTATCATTCCAAGAAAATAAGATATAACTTTCTTATAAAAATAAGTCAGTATATAGAAAAGTAGTTAACAAAAATAGTAAAGAAAATATTAACATGTATAATAAATATATTAAGCTTATGTTTTAATAATAAAGGTAAATATTGATTAATACTACAAAATAATTTAATAAACTTATTTATATATTAATTTATTTCTATTTAAATATATCAACTATGTATATTTATATTTTTAAATTTATTTTATAACACATACACGGTGTGTGAGTCTCTGTCAGTTTGACTGTTTGTGCATAGCGTATATAGAAATATTCAAGGGTGATGACCTATAAAGCACTAATACTGGTATGAATATCGGATACAATATGGTAGGATACACGGATATGACAATTTTCAAAAATTTCAGGGTACAAGTATGACTATATAAATAATTAAATATTAAATATTAAATATTTAGATTCACATATATAAGTAATTAAATAATTAAGTACTATCAAGTGGCAACGATCAACTTAAATTAATAGATACTGAAAATTATGAACAATTTTTTACATATTTAATCTGAGGAGAGCTAATAGAACAGCAACCAAGCTGAACACTATTACCCTTGTGAGTCGTGACTGAGGAGGAGAAAAGATAGTGACACAATGACTGAGGAAGACATTGAAACAGTGACTAAGGAGGCAAACACAGAGAGTGCCAAAGCGACAGTGGCTCGAAGAGATAGAGCGACGAAGGAGAACATTACCTTGCTCAAGCTCAACGGTGGAGAAGGGAAGGATGATAGTCAGCGACAATGGAAGGTCACTAGGTCAAAGATAGAGTGAAGCAAGTCAGGTGAGGGACTTGGGAATGAAAGGGATCAGTCGATGTCTCATGAAGTAATCTGTTCTGAGGGGAAAAAACGCCTAAAAGCCCGTGTCTGCCCGTTTTGCAAAAACAAAAACAAAAAAAAAAGAAAAAAAAAGAAACTCTGCATTCGCATACAAGATGCGTGTCCATGTCGAATACATATCCAACACAAACACGATGCCCATTTTGGCATATTAATGCTTCTGAGTGATGACAATATTTGACACAGACATGGTGCCCATTTTGGCGTATTCGTGCTTCTAAGTGATGATAATATATGTATGTGCTGTAATAGGAGTAAATAAAGGTAAAAGAATATAGTTATGCTTACTTATAGTGTTCCTACAAATTTTGTGCTTAGATGAGATTTATCCTCAGATAAAAGCTTTGCTAACCCAAAATTAGCAATTTTAGGTTGTAAATCATCATCTAAGAGGATGTTGTTGAGCTTGATATCTCTATGTATGATACGAACATGAAATTCTTCATGTAAATAAGTCAAACCCCTTGCAATTCCTAAAATTATATCATATCGCTGCTTTCAACTTAGCAAATCTTTCTTTTTTCCTGTTTTCCAAGTTTACAAGCTTTGAAAGGTAAGAAACAGACAAAATTTTTTCATTGTTGAATTGAAATCCATGCTAATTAAGTTATCTAATAAAATTATAGCATGATATGAGTAAGATGAGAAGCCAAGGATATATTCTTAAGCTGAAAATATATGCACGTCATAACTGTTATCAAGAAACATAATAGCTAATGCCTATAGAATTTCTTATAAGTTTTGTCTGTTGATAGAAGCTTACCAAATAAAAAATAGTCAAGACTCTTGTTTTTCATGTATTCATAAACAAGTATTCTGCTACAGCCATGGCTACAATATCCTAGAAGTCGAATGAGATTTCGATGATGAACATTACTTATAAGCTTCACCTCACTCTCAAATTCTTCCTCCACCTTATTGGAGTGCAAGTGGCGCAAAGTTAATTTCTTCACTGCAACTACTTTCCCATTCTTCAAAACACCCTATTTAGCAAGGCAAATAATTTCAACCAATTACAGTCATGATATGTAGTTTTATTGGAAGTTCTCCATTCGTTCCTTTGACAGTCAATGATATATTTTCTTTATAAAACTCATTTAAACATCCTTGCTTTAATTTAGAAAATAATTTATATTAAAATGTTGAAAATCAAAATAAATTACCTTGTATACAACCCCGAATCCTCCTTCTCCTAGTTTATTTTCTTCACTAAAATTCTTGGTTGCAGACATCAATTCCCTGTAACTGTAATTACCTGGGCCTTTCAACTTTCTTGCTCCAATTATTTCTCCTGTTAGTCAAGTAAATGTCTTGATCTCAAGAATGAATACATACATATATGAGGATTGTGTGAAACAATTATCAAGCTGCTACACAATAGAATGCTTTTCAATTAGTTGTTTACCTCTAGGAACCTCCTTATTCCTTTTTGGTCGTTTAGTCAAGCAAAACAGTACGAGGAGGATCAATGAAACAAGAGCTACACCTCCAACAACTCCACCAATAATGACCCCTATGTTGCTTGAACCTGCAAGACAAGAAAACCATAATTCATTGTAAGACCATGGCTAAGGTAAGCTGCGGTTATAGATGCTCCTAATAGAAAGAGCTCTCACACATATGATACTTAATCCATATTATAAATAGTCATTTTAATATTTGTCCCATGTCTTACAACATATATTGAGGTCAACATTCAATTTACAAAGCCGGGCCGAGAAAAATAAAAGAAGAGAAATAAAAGGATAATAAAACTTTTTATTTTTTTTAAGTTTGCATCAGTTATCAATTTCTTGATAATTTAAATTTGCTTCAATTATTTATTTGATCAAAATTATCAATTTGACCAAAAAAATTATCAATTTGATCTCTATTGTTTGAAAAGTAGGTTACGATGTTAACATCTAATGACATATGGATAATGGAATATTGAATTGGAAGCCATATAAATTAATAAAAAGAAGTATAATTATTTAGGGAGAAAAAAAAAGAAAACATTCTCAAAAATTTTAGAAAATAACCATAAAAAAACGTAGTGTTCTTGACTAGATGTTGATAAAAATTAAATTTGATTTGAGGGTCAATTTATTTGCATTTATTCACATATACATTTAAGTTATCAACATTCTTTACCCATTAGATTAATTTAAAAGTCAATTTGTGTTTTAAAATTTAAAGGATTCTAGCATGATAATTTAAGAGAAAGTAAATGACAAAATTAATAAAAATTAAACTTAAGAGACCAAATCAATAAATAATGTGAACTTGAGGATCTAAATATTTCATTATACCAAAAAGAAAAGAGTACAATAGCATACATTAAAAATAAATCAACTTAATCGAGGAGCACTTGATTCAATTAACAGAAGGAAATGTCAAAGACATCATCGAAACACTCATGAAGTAGTCGTTAGTAATAACAATCTCATACAGTGTGGCTTTGAATTAATTTGGGTGAGTGGTGGTAATCCATCAAGTTTTCCATGATCTCCGGGGATGAAATTTAAAAAAAAAAAAAAATTGAATCAACAATCATGAATGGACTTGGTATCAATATGGACCCAGATCATGATAAAGAGATTAATGGGTCTAATGATGCGAGCTCAAACTAAGGGGTAATATATGCTAGTGGGCCAAATATTTACAAAGGGAAAAAAAGGGTACAAGGGCGAAGGAAAGGTGCAGGTATGGGTGTGAAGATTATTGTGAAGACTCTCTCTCTCTCTCTGGCTTTCTCTTCCTTCCCTCTGGCTGTTATCATTGACTATGGATTCTCTCCTTCTTCTTCTCTCTGCAACTCTGTAGCTACCTTTCCCTTTATGTTCCCTTATTTCTATATTATTGCAGTCTTGTAATTCCCCTTTTATCTGTTCTTCAAACCACCATTTGGATTGAAATTTTCATTTAAGATAGTTCAGTTGTGTTTATAGTATGAGTGATATTTGAGTTTGTGATATCACCCTAAATTTTTATCCCATTCAACCAAAAAAAAAAAAAGGCATATACCCATGTCTAATAAAAGCAATGAAACAAGACATCTATAACAGAGCTTCAAAAACATACACAAATCAAATTATCATATGAAGATCTGAAAATACAAGTGTATGTACCTTGTTTGAAGGAGGGAGTGATATCAGAGGTCTGGTAGTTATCAGGAAAGAAGGAAGTGGTGGAATATCTCATGAAACATCCATCAGCAATGGCCCTACCTTCTGAATTGGGAAGACAAATCTGCATGTTGTTGGAGCCACTGCTCAAGCAAGACTCACATGTACTCTGTGTGAGTGTTTCAGTGCATTGAGCAATTGCAAAGATAGTTGTTGGGCCATTATTATTATTAGGCACTTTCATCTTTGTGGCTGCAAAGAAGCTTGTGGTTGTGGGTGTTACAGTTTGGAGATTCTTGAGCACTTGTTGCACGGATGAGGTAAATGTTGTGGGTTCTTCTGTAATAGTCTGATTTCCACATGATGCTGTACTTATAGTATCTGTTGTGTCGTCAAAGAAGGTGCTCACCACGTCGTACCTTCACACATTACAAGGTATTAATATGTATTTTGCTATATATATCTACAAGCTAACGAGGGGATGCAATTTTTCACCTCTAGCTAGGTTTTAAGTTTTTTCCCCTCTTTTTAGTGAAGTATTTTGATCTACCTTTTAAACATAAAGTACATTGTGAGTTGTGACTTGCTTAATGCCTCAAGTTGATGTTATTTTTTCTCCCCATCTCTAATATCATTCACATGTTATCAGATGTTTTCAAAGATAATACTTGCCATCTAAGTAATTAACGGTGAATTATAACAAAAAAAGTTCTTATATATAAAAAAAAATTTAAGTGAATTGGGTATCAAAAAATTATTAAAATATAAATATGCTTCTAAATTTAAAGAACATTTATAAAGATATTTATAAATTATCTATTAATAAGATTTGAACTCATAACTTGGTAGATTGTGAGTCAAAGTCTGGACCAACATAACTTTTCTTAATAATTATAACAAAGTTCTGGCGGATGTGATGTGCCTAATCAACTAGGTCAACTTAGTCCACATGTTTATGCTTGGGCCAGGCTGGTTGGCCCAAAAAACATTCACGTACTAAACAATGTCCAACTGGGATACGCATTGGTTACATCATCGTATTTGGAATTGGGTTTACGTTACTAGTTACACAGATTCATCAGAGCTCGTTCTAGGTTACATTTTCTTATCTATTAGTCAACTTGGATTCATAAAAAGGAATATAAAAAATGCATTTGAAGAAAGATAAAATGAAATAAAAAAATTAAGTAAATGAATATATTATGATCCAACAAATTCAATAATTTTTTACTTTTTTGGAAACCTTTTGTATCCCCAAAAGTCATTCTTATAACCACGCAAGGTATATCTTCAAAAAATCTTTCTTCTACTAAAATAAGAAGTGTTATGTAAAAGTTTGTAATAATTTTTTTTAAAGTTTGTCCCTCAAGATTTTTAATGAGTGCTTTTCATAAACTGATCAAATTTTTTACACTCTTTTTATTAATTAATAAGGTTATACTTGGAATTTTCGGATTTTTTAACAAATTTAAAAAGTATTTCTAAGTTGACCATACCTATATAGCCATATTAGTAAGAATTCTTACACGCTAACTTTCGCCGTATCTTCCACGGTCACACCCCCACTCGAACCACTGAAAAACTTATAGTATTTGCTAACCATTGTAGATCTAGTCTTCCTCATATTGGGAAACTTCTAATTCTAATTTTAAATTTTTCACATGCATGATCATCAATATAATTAAAGGAATTTTTTTTTTGCCAACAATTAAAAGGAATAATATCAATGAAACAATCCTAAATACATGAATTATACAGATAGAATACTTATTAAAATAGTCACTTTACTTGTTTATTAATGTTTACTTATTTATGGAAGATATTAAATTTTTTTGGGTAATTTGTTGATATTCTCCGTAATTAAAAACTCTTGGCGGATTAGTTTGGTTATACCTGAGGAAGCATCCATCGTAGGCGACATGGGCACCGGGGGCTCCGGCGGGGCAGCTGAGGATGTCGGGGGCGGCGACGTCAAAGCAGGCGACACAGTCGGCGACGGGGAGGTAGTTTCTGCATTGAAAAAGAGTGGAGACAGCAGGGTTTCCAAAAGCGCCTTGCTGCGCCGTGACGAAAAGCTTGTTCTGGTCACTGATCTGATCTCTGATGTCTCGCAACGTTGCGTTTTTGTTCTCTTCGAAGATGGTGATGTTGGAGACGACGAATTGGTTGAACGGTGTGCATGCGATGGGCTTCAAAATATTGGCCTGGGAATCCGAAACGACGCCATCAAGAATCCAGCACGACCAGGTCAATACTAAGGTCAATAAGGGAAGGAGATGAGTATGAAGCATATTGGTTCTGTGTGGAGAGAGTGTTGAAGAAGAAGGAAAGCAGAAGAAATGGATGGGCGTCGAAAAAGTCAGCGAAATGCGGTCTTTGGACGTTATAGTTAAATGATCTTTTTAACCTATTGTGTTTGAATGTGTGTATTGGGTTTGGATTACTCTCCCCAGTTATATTTATAAGTTAGGGGAGAGATTTTTTTTCCCCCATATTTAAAAGTTAAAGTATTAATTTTTTATCAATTTTTTTTAATTTTTCACGATATGTTGGTGAAAGAAATTATGTATTATGAAAATATGTATATTTAACTGTAAAATTAAAAAATTATTAAATTTTTAGATAGAGTTAATGAATTTTAAAAATTTTCTATTCCAATGAAACATATGTTTGATGTTATTTATAAATAAAATTAAATGAATATAATATTTGATATGTGTGTGAATGTTTTTTTTTTTCCATTTTGACCAAATTTATGTAAATAGTTAGCTCAAACAAAAAACAAGAAGAAGAAATAATGATAAATGAGGATTTTTAAAAATAAGAATGATAATTGAAAACCTTAAACTATTAGAATGATATGGAAGGACCATGGTCCTTTTTGCAAATATAATATTGTCCTTATCACCAAATGGACAATATTATAAATGGATAAATAATCTTGTAAATTTATGCATTATTGAATTTAAAAATAGTCACTTGTAATTTATAAATTTATAAAATAGTGCAATTTATTTGTCTCAGCTTTAAAAAGTTGATCATATCTTCTAATAAAATTTTAATTTTCTACAACACACCCCATTTTCAATTTTTTCCATGGAAAATCTTAAGACCACGAATTCATGCAAGTTAAAAGAAAAGGAAGTTACCAAATTAATGAACAATATATTTAAACCTCTCATTTTAAGTCACAAAAAAAATATCCCTTATAAAAGATCAAACCATATTATAATAAAAACAATTATAAGTTGCAACAAAAACAAACATCTAAACATAATCAATTTAAAAGTACCAACACGTGTTGGCTTAGATGGCAAGGAGTTTGAATTTCCTTAAGCATTAGCTCTTAGGTTCGATCCTTGGAGTGATGAGAATAGAGAAAATATGTTTGAAAAAGCCATCCTCCTTTGGAGCTTCACAGTGCTCAAATTCAAATTAGTGAAAGATGTCATTTTCAGATACTAAATGGTTATTAAAAAAAAAAAAAACCACATAAAAGCTAGATGGCCCTGAACCAGAAACGTAACCAACATTAAAGCCCATCACGTAAAAGCAATTGGGCCTTGAATAGTTCCTCTCCCCAATTTATAAGTTTTGCCCCCATTAAATTACACATGTTAATAAAATTTTAAAAATATCATTTATTAATAAGAGAGATAAAAATAGATAATTATCTTTAATAAATTTTTTAGAACATCTTATATTTTAAAATACTAAAATATTTTTTAAAAAAATCTTATAAAATAAGATATAGGAGTAATATATGAATAACTTTTTTATTTAGTAGCTCAAATTAAATACACGTGATCTAATTCGCTTATATAATATTTATAGTTAAATTTGTCCTACAAACTTGTGATACTTGTGTATTTGCACGTGCCCTCATGTACATAACAAGTTTTATCATATTTTTGTATTTTTAGATTTTTGAATAATGAGTCATAAAACTTTTGGAATAAAAACACATGATGCAATTATGCAAATCTATATGAGTGTCTATATAGACATAGAGAAATACATATACATCTATATATATACACATATCTTTACATCTAATATAAAATGTAAAGAATTGTTGTTGTACTATTCATTTCATATATATAATTCATCAACAATACATAAATTCAAAATATTAATTAATACCATAATAAAACTGAAAAATGAGATCAGGAATGAATTAATTTTGTAGAAAATTTAATCTTCATGGTAAATTCTTAAGGATTTAATTTAGAGGTCCCCAGACACCAGAAATAAATTAATCCTTTATTTCTAATTTTAGAATATAGGGCCCATTTATTTAAGATTAAAAAATAAGTAATTTTTAAGTAATTTAGAGATTTTATAAAAAGGAATTTATTTTATATAAATTTTATAAAAAGAATACATTATTTTTATGTTTGGTTACAATAATAAAAAAGTGATTATTAATTAATCATATTTAAATTTTATGACATCTTCCTTAATTTTTATTTTATAAAAATAATTTATTATTATATTATTTTTAAATTTTATGATATCTTTACATATCCTGTCTCTTTAAAATACTCTCTTTCATTCACAAAACAAAATTTTTTTTAAAAAATAAGTAATTTTTTTCATAAACTAAGCTAAAACAAATGGGTCCATAATTTTAAAGGGTGTTGTGTTCCTCTACAGATAACAATCGAAAACTTCACTCACTTTCATTCTCGCCCGACAGGGTTGAGAAGACTCAGCCTAGAAAAAAAAAATTACAAAGAATTAATCTTTCTTCAACCAAAAAAAAAAAAAACAAGATGCTAACTACAGAAAATAAAATAATACAAAACAAACAAATAAAACCAAACATTGCATCTCTCGGTTTAAAAATATAAAAAAATTTTAATCAAATTATGACTAATTGCTCTCACAAGTGTATGAGATTACAATAATAAATTATTCAGAATATTCTGAGTGTTGAATCTATAGAAAAGTTGCGCTTTTATTAATTTAAATAATTAATAGTTTGAGAAAAATATATATAATGGATTATTTGGTGAAAATTTAAATAAAAAATAAATCAAGAAAATAATGATAAGTATACAATCGCTTGAAGCATTAGGATTTATGATTCATCCTATAGATTGCTAGCTTCTATCCTTTGAGTTGATTCTTTAATCAATTATAGTGACAATTATTCTTAAAGTGTTCTAATATTCTCCCGAATTATGAGTCTCTTTTTAATTAGTGTTGAATTTATTCTTATGATACTCAAACAATTAATTAAACTGTGAAGTTATAATTTAAGTTACCACAAATTTATAGAACTATTCCTAACTTAGTTACTTATGTCTATTTCTCTATATCTAAGTTCTCTTTTCACCTCTCAATCTATCAAGATTACCTATAGATTTGATAAAATGGTGGCTAATCACAAAATCAATATGAAGAATAAGAGAAATGAATATAATTGAAAAAGCAAAAGTAATCATAAATATAAATGCAAAGAGTCAAAATAAAGCAAATAAAAAACTAGCTTCTCAATTGGACTATATCCCTACCTCAACTAGGTAATTTAGAAACACATAATAAAATCAAATAACATCATTTTAAAATCTCCAATCATGAAAAACAATCATAGAGAAAATTAAGGAGTAGAAAAAAATAATTATGATTTGTAAAACTCTTCAACAATCTCACTTTCAATCTTCAAAATGCTTCTACGAACTCCAAATATCTCAGAGAGAATTCTTGAAGTACTTAGATAAGTGATTGAATGCCTTCTCTCTTGATGGAGGGAGTATTTATAGTTAAAATAAAGGCTTCTCTTCTTCCTCCTTATCGATGTGAGACTCTAATATATATATATATATATTTCTCTTTTTATTCTTTCCTTTAATTCCTTTTTTTTTTTTTGCAAAGAATAAAAACTAAGATATATATGAATAACTTTTATATCAAAATTCCTTTTTATCTCGTAATTAAGTTATTAGACAAAAATATATAAATATTAATTAAATAAATATGAAATCTTAATAAATATAATCAAATTTAAACCAAAATATATACCTATTTAATTATAAAATATTCACTTATTAATGATTTAATAAATTAGTTAATTATTTTTAAACTAACCTCATCTTTATTGGTTTACCCTTATTTAATAGAATAGTTCATATAAAGTTAAAGGATTGATTGATTCATTAAGGAAACTTAAAACAAAACTCATTAATTACACATTAAAAATTAAAAATGTCTTATAGTTTTTTAACATCTAATCACAAAAAAAGGTCTTACATTTATTAAGAGAGTACCTTGTAAAGTAATGTGAAGAGCTAGATCAATATATATATAGATAATGGAAATATAACATCAAAACATTGAATTTACTTTGTAATTTGAAAATGTAATAGGGAGTTGGTTACATAGAAATTAAGGCATCCTTATTCTTTACTATGAAAAAATTATGCTGAAAAAATTAATTATTGACCCTTATAGTTTTGACTTGGCTACAACTATTTAATTATTAAATTTTAATCTATTATAATTCAGTCCTTATAATTTAGACTTGATTGCAACTTAGTCTTTAAACTTTGACACGATATAACTAATTAGTCTTTATAATTTTAACTATTAAAATATTAGTCCATATATTTTAAAATATAAAATTATGAGGACTAATAAAGTTATTTCTTGAAATAACTTAATGACTAATATTTTAATTATTGTAACTATATATGGACTAAGTTACATCGTGTCAAAATTTAGAGATTGAGTTATAGTTGGCTTATAAATTATAGGGATTGGGTTACATCAAGCGAAAAGTTTAAAGATTAAAATATAATCAATTCAAAACTATTGAGACCCAAATGATTAATTTTTTTTAATTAAGATTGATCAAGTGTATGTTGGGGCGGGGGAATCTGAAATATCAGAGAAATGAAAAACAAACAAATACTCAAATAATCTTAATTCTTCAACAAAAAACAATGATATAAAAGGATAATAAGTGTTTCTCTATTACCTTGAGCTCCTTCTTCATCTCTCTCGTCTTTCAATGAGCTTCTCTTCTCCATTCTCTCTCTCTCTCTCTCTCTCTCTCTATATATATATATATATATATATATTTGGAGATTAATATGAGCACAAGGGTCTTAAAACTTACATGCACACACATAAATACCATTGGGTTCTTGTCCTTATAATGGGATCAATTAGTTGTATCTCCTCGCAGCTTGGCTGGGTTGACTCAAGATTTCGACAAGGGGCTCGAGTGTGAGTGTGGATGTGTGTATTTTCCTTTTTTTAATTTTCTGATAAAAGAAACTTATAGTTTATCACGTACTTCCTCCAATTTTACTTATAAAGTAATAAAAAAATTTTAATCATATTTATAAGTCACGCTATTAATATTTTATAATAAATTTTTTTATATATTCTCCATTAAATGTTAA